TTTCTCTTCCTGCCCCTATATGGTGATACCTTTTATTTTCCATTTCCTGTGCTTGATTGCTGTAGCCGAAGCTCCCGCACTACGTGTTGATAGAAGTGTTGAGATGTGAACAGCTTGTATGGTTCCTAGTTCTAGCGTGGGAATGCTTTTGTTCCTTCCTCCCTCTCCTTGCCATAAATTCTTTCCCCATTCAGTATGAATGTTGGCTATGGGTCTGTCATAATAGGCTTGGTTATCAATTTTTAGTAGTCCCTTCATGCCTGGTTTTCCTTAAGTGTTCGTTATCATGAAAGGGTGTTGACATTTTGCAACGTTTTCGTGCCATCTATTGAAAGTCATGTGGTTCTTTGTTTTTGCTTCTGTTTTAGTGTGCGTGATGCATTTATGTTTCATATGTTGAACATCCCTGCATCCCTTGGGCTGGCGCCAGCCTTGGTCGGTGGTGGATTATTTTTCTTGTATACGCGTGCTGGTTACTGTTGCTTAAGATTTTTTGAGAATTTTGCCCTCTTTTTATTAGGGATATTGGTCTGTAGTTTCTTTTTTGCTTGCATCCGTTTCCTGGTTTTGGTATAGATTATTATTCCTTCATACAAGCTGTCGGGGCAGGTTCGTTCATTCTCGAGTTGTGGAATGTTTCTGCAGATTGTCACTAGTTTTCTTTGTAAGTATGGTAATTTCATGTGTAAGCCATCTGGACCGGGACTTTTCTTTTTAGGGAGTTTTTAATTGCTGTTTCTATTTCAGCTGTTGAGATTGGTCTGTTCAGGGATCTATTTCTCCCTGGTTGAGCCTAGGGGGGCTGGTGTGCTTTCTAGAATTTGTTCCATTTCCTCCACATTTTCTGGTTTGTTGTGCATAGATTTTGTGAGTTTCGATAATGTTCTTGTACTCTTTGGGGAATCGTTGTGATATCTCCTTTTTATTTCCTGATGGAGCTTATTGGGATTTCTCTTTTCTGCTTTTAGTTGCTTAGACCACATGGTGTGTCAATTTTGTTTATTTTTCTAACGAACCACTCTTTTTGTTTGCTTAATCTCTCTGAATCGCTTCCTGTTTTCAATTTCTTTCGTTCTGTTTGATCTTGTTGATTTCATTCTTCTGCTGGGGTTTGGGGTGGTCTGTTCTGCTTTTTCCAGAATCTTTGAGTCGCGGGTTCTTAGATTGTCTATTTTGATTCATTTTGTCTTTTGGTCCGTTATAGGCATTTATGTGGATCACTTTGCTCTCGAAGTGCTTTAGGCTGTGTCCCAAGGAGTTGATAACTTGTCCTCTCCTGTCGTTTTCTTCATGAGCCTTTTTTTTATTCCGTCTTGCTTTCTTCATTTATGAAGGTAATTCATTTTTAGTAGGAGTGTTTAATTTTCCACGTTTTTGCGTGAAATGTGAGTTTTTTGTTAGGATTGATTTCTACTTTTATTCCACTTGTGTCTTGAGAAGGTCATGGTTATGATTTCTTATTAATTCTTGAGATTTACTTTGGTCCTAGGATATGGGTCATCTTGGAGAATGTCCCGGCGTTGCTGATGGAAGAACGTTATTCAGTAGTGTTGGTAGAATGTCGTGAATGTCAGTCAGTCCCAATTTTCTGAGTTTTGTTTAGTCCATTATTTCTTATTAATTTCTTTTGGGGATCTGTCTCGTGGCCGTCAGTGGGTGGTTGCAGCAGTCTTCCGCGGCGCTTTGGCGCTTGCTCTATAATCCATTTGCTCTAGCTCAGTAATCGTTTGCTTTTAATTCTGAAGGTCCACTAAGGTTGGGTGCTATATTATTTAAATTGTTATCTCTTCTTGTTGACTGTTGCCCTTCACCATGTATATAAGGCCCCTCTTTGTCTTTTCCACTACTACTTTTGTTGGGTTTAAAACTAAACCGTCTGAATTAGCTGCCACCCAGCCTTCTTTTGGCTTCTATTGCTTGGAATACTTGATCTCCACCCTCTTTATTTTATGAGTCTCGTATGCTCCTTGGCAGGTTAGATGTGTTTCTCTGTAGACAGCATCTACTTGGCCTATATTTTCTTATCCATTCAGCCAGGCCTATGTCTCTTGCAGTGGAGTTATTTAGCCATCACATTTTATTCAGAGCGAGAGACTGATACGGTCTAACGGCTAGATTCCTCACTCTTCTGTTGTTGGGTTGGATGTTGTTGCTGATGATTTGTTTGGACCTCATTGCGTATGTCTGGCCTTTATATCTTTGGGTTTTAGTTGTTTTATATTCGTGGGTGTTTTTTTCTTCATTCTGATTTCCTGCATAAACGCTGTTTACAGTCTTCTTGTAGGGCTGGTCTTGTCTTGGTGTAATTCTCTGAGCTTTGCTTGTCTGAGAATGTTTTTTTTTCTCCCTTATATACGGAGCTTGGTTTTACAGGAATAAGTTCTAGGTTGGGCCTTATTTTTGTTTCAAAGCGTGAGAATGGGACCCCAGTCCTCTCCCTTGCTTGTTAAAGTCTCATTAGAGGTCTGAGTATCTCGAATTGGCTTTCCTTGTATGTTACTTGCTTCTTTCGTCTTACAGGTCTTAGAAGGCCTTCTTTATTTGTCTTTGGTCCGGACTGTGCTTGATGTCGTGGCGTCTTCCTGCTTTGCGTTGATCTCCCAGGGTCCTCTGAGCTTCTTTGGAACTTGTATATCAAGATTTTAGCAAGGCCTCGGGAATTTTCCTATATTTATCTTTCAAACAGCTTGTCCAACCCTGAGTGTTGTCTTCTTCCCCTTCTTGTACCCTATGGACCTCCATATAGGTTTCTTCACTAAATCCACAGCTCTTGTAGGCTTGTCTTTCTTTGTTTCTCTGCTCTTTTCTGTGACTGATTTATTTACTTGGGGAGGGTGTTTATCTTCAAGTCTGAGATTCTTTTTCTGTTTGATTTACCCTGTTCTTGAGACGTTTCACTGTTTTTGTAATCCTTGAATTGGGATTCTTCATTTCCACGGTATTCGGTTCCTTTCTTCATTGTGTCTATTTCTTTTCCTCATATCCTGGAGGCTTTTTGTGGTTTCTTTGGTTGGTTATTGAGTTGTTGTTGGCTCGGTGAGTGTTCTTCTGATCCATATGAAATTCCTCTTCTGTCATATTGGTTGCCTGATTTTGGGTTGGATGGTCTGTTTCTAGGGGGCTGGTGCTCTCTTTCGCGCGCTCGCTCCTCTCTCTCCTGCTTGGTTCTCTTATTGTCCTGCAGTTCTTTCGCTGTTTCTTCCATGTCGATCAGTTGTTGTTTCTTGTCCTTAGTTCATTGTTTGGGTATTCACCGCCTTGTTGTTTTCTGTTTGTTAGGGTGCGTGTCTTGTGGGGATTGACCATCCCGTTTTGGGTCAGTGTCTAGCCGGGGGTGCCGGGGAAGGCGTGTGCAAAGATGCCCGTCCCTGTCAGTATGTGGCGTTGCTTGTGAGGAACAGGCTATGCTTTTGTTTTGTGTTACCCTACCCGTTCCAGGCATTAGCAGGGGTCAAGTTCTGTTCTCGATCTTCAGGTGACAGCTTTCAGGGCGGGGCGGGAATGTCCTGCTCAGCCAGAAGTCTGGGTGGTGAGGGTTTGGTGGCCTGTGGATCTCGTCTGGAGCAGGCCTTGCTTCTTTCCACTCCTCCCCATCGTCCACAGCTACTCTGGGCCTCTTGCCGGGTAGGCTGACCACAAGCCACGGCCTCCCGGGACTTGTGATGTCCGGCGGGGCGGTTCCCTGCACAGGTGAACGCCCACCTGGGTGGGCGCACTGGCCTCCTTCCTGGGAGGAGGGTTGCCCTTAGGACGCGATCTGGCGCCCCTGGGGCACACACCTCGTAGGCTTTCAGTATAACCTTCTGTGCCGGGGCAATATGGCTAGCGCTCAGCTGAGGGGATCTGGTCTGCGCTCGCCTCTGCGGTTCCCGAGTTCAACTGTTCTCCCACCAGGGAGGGGATTTCCGATCCATTCCCACAGGGGCCAAGCTGCGGGTTATGTCTCTCAGCTCTGAGTCCGGGCCGTTCTCCTGGGAACCACCGTGGCAGCGCACCTGGGATGGGCGGGCGCGTGGGTATGGGTAGCTCACAGTCTGAGGTTCCCTGAGTCGCAGCTGTAGGGTCCCAAACTGGGAGGTCCGTCCCCTGGATGCCTCTGGCTTGGTGGCTGGTGTTGTCTCTCTGGGCAGCGGCGGGTAGGGCGGGGCGGAGGGGAGGGAGGAGGCACTATGGCACTGCTGGCGTGGTCTTGGGTCTGTGCACACGGGGTGGTGCCCGGAGGAAGTTGCGGACCTCGGTGCATGTCTGCGTACGGGCCTCACCCGCTGGGCTGGGTGGCCGGCGGTCTCTGGGCTGGTGTCCGTTGTGTCTCTCAACCCACTGGGGCCACCAGCAGTGCCACATGCAGGAGGGGAAATAGCAATCCCTCCCTTGCGGTGATTCTGGGTGCTTTGGTGGGTCTCCGCCTCAGTTCTTCCTCGCGCAGTATACATAATGAGTGAGATGTGCACCATCTGGGGGATGTTCATGCTGGAGACTCAGACTTTTGGGGGGAGGGGGGAAATGGGCATTTATTGAAACCTTGAAATCTGTACCCCCATAATATACCGAAATAAAAAAAAAAATAACTTGCCTGAGCCTCTCCAGTCTCTTTATATCTTGGCAAATAGAAGAAATAATTGGGATATTGATGTTTTATGGAGTGTTGCAATATGTGATAAATATTTTACTGACAGGTTCTTGAGGACGAGGACTATAACTGATTCAGTTCTTTTTCCCAAGTGTTTAGATTAGTGCTTTACACATTTACTGAGTGAATGAATAAATGAATGACTCTTGAGTGGAAGAACAGACTAGTTAGTCTCTAAAGTTCTTTAAATTTTTAATACTCAAATATTCTATGCTTTTCATGTTAGAAATTTTACTCTAAAATTATGGTACCAATAATTTATGGCAGAATAGCTAATTTACATGAGATAAATGTACAACTGTTTAAATGCTGCAATTTGTAATCTATGTTGCCTGAAGCTGTCTTTAATATCATTTTTTCTTTCTTGTAGGTAATTGAACAACCTGTTACTAATGGCAAACGTAAACTGCTGACCCTTGGCACATTTATACAGTACCTTAGAGATAATGAGAAAACAATGAAGATGACTTTTAAGAGTTTGGACAAAAATAATGATGGTTTGTTTTTACATAGTTAGCAAACTTGTATATCTATAAAGAGTAAAGTCTGTTTTAGTAAAGATTTATTATTAGATATTTGGCTTTCCTTAAGAGTTATCAAAATCTCATGTATTTAATTCTGTCATTTTTTTTTGCTATTATTTCTTCTAAGGCATATTTTTAAATGATGTAGTTTTTATTTATGTACTATCTTTCAGAAATAAAAACCACCAACAAAAAAGGCTGTACCTTTGAACAATATGCTTTTTATTTATTTATTTATTTTTATTTTTAGACAGAGTCTCATTCTGTTGCCCAGGCTAGAGTGCCATGGCGTTAGCCTAGCTCAAAGCAACCTCAGATTCCTGGGCTCAAGCAATCCTTCTGTCTCAGCCTCCCAAGTAGCTGGGACTGCAAGCATGTGCCACCATGCCTGGCTAATTTTTTCCACATATTTTTAGTTGGCCAATTAATTTCTTTCTTATTTTTAGTAGAGACAGGGTCTCGCTCTTGCTCAGGCTGGTTTTGAACTCCTGACCTTGAGCAATCCTCGTGCCTCGGACTCCCAGAGTGCTAGGATTACACGTGTGAGCCACTGTGCCTTGCCTAACAATATGCTTTTTAGCAAGAGTCTGAGGGACATTTGTAACATTTTGATAGCGTTTTTACAGGAAAAAAGCTCCTTATGGCAGTGGTCGTTAAGGTATATTTTGAGAGGTAAATGTTAGCTAAATGAAGTGTGGGGAAGAGAGTTCCAGACAGAACTAGCTCACTGGGAGGCTATGGCTGTGATTACCCAAGGAGAAAGGACATGTCTAAGGAACTAGAGGAAGACCAATAGGGTACAAGTGGAGGGCATGGGGAAGTCTCGTCAGAGATGAGGCCTGAGAGTCATGGGTAGGCAAGATTATGTAGGGCCTTGAGGCCTGGGGAAGTTTCTGGACTTAATCCTAAAGCATAGTGAGGTGGGAAGCTATGAAAGAGTTTTTAATAGTGGGAGTAACACCATCAGATTTGTGTGGAGCATGCATTGACATCAGAGCTAAAATGGGACTGTGGGGTTGGGAATAAATGATTTGAGAGATATTTGAGAGATATTTAGGTTTAGACTATATCCCATTTGGTGATTGGGTGAGGGACTGGAAAGAGGCAAGAATGATTGATTGGTTTGAGCAACATTGGAGGATGGTGGTATTATTATTATTATTTTTTTTTATGTATTTTTTTTTATTTTGGCATATTATGGGGGTACAGATTTTAAGGTTTCAATAAATTCCCATTTCCCCCCCTCCCCCCAAAAGTCTGAGTCTCCATCATGACCATCCCCCAGATGGTGCACATCTCACTCATTATGTATGTATATACCCGCCCCCCTCCCACCTGCCCAATACCCTATTACTGTAGCACCTATGTGTCCACTTAGGTGCTACTCAGTTAGGTATTATTTTTTGATGCAAGAAATATCGTATGGGCTCTCCAGTCGTTTTGCATCTTATCAACTAGAAGAAATAATTGGGATACTGATGTTTTATGGAGTGTTTCAATAGTGCACCAAATACTATTTTCCTCTGTATCTTTTCAAACTTTCCAGTTGATCCTAATTTTCTTTATTCCTTTAAAGGAGTGATTGATGCTTCAGAAATTATCTATGCTTTCAAGTTAATAGGTATAAATATTCCTAAAAAAGAAGCAGACAAGATTCTTGCAAGGTCAGTCCTTATATATGTATATACATTTTAAAATTATTTTTTATTTACTTTAAACCCTTTTAAATTATAAAAGTGACAACTATGGGCACTTAGAAAAGTGTGAATAATAGCCTGTAGTTATTGAACATCTGTGAAAAGTGTGAATAATAGCTTGTAGTTATTGAACATTTGTCTGTTAGCACTCTTCTAAGACCTTCACATACATTAATACTATATTAAAATACATTTAATACTACATTAAAATACATACTACATTAAATTTTCTGCACAGCAGCAAAAAAAAAAAACCCTACAAATGTTTTTTAAATCAGGAAAAGATATTTGCAATGCATATACCAATGTAGGATTAATATTCAGAATTTAGAAAGAACACCTACAAGTCATTAAGAGAACAACAACCCTGCTAAATTTGACTGGCTTTTTAAATAAATAAATAAATAAGAGAACAACAACCAATTTAACTGAAAAACTGGCAAAAGGCACAAACAAGTAGTTTATAGAAAAGAAATATCCAATAGCCACTAAATACATGAAAAGATAATCTTACTGGTAATGTGAAATATAATTAATTACATTAAGTTACATTAAATTTAAAAACAATGAGATAATATTTATGAGCCATAGGTTTAGAAAAATATTAAAATATTAGAATACAACAGTATCAAGTATTGGGATGAAAATACATTTCTGGTAGAAACATAAAGTTGTACAACTACTTTGGAGAGCAATTTGGAATACCCAATTAAAGTCTGTATACTCTACAACTGAGCAATTCCTTTTTTAAAAATATGCAGCATGGATATTGATGGGTCAATGACAGTGGACTGGACAGAATGGAGGAAGTATTTTTTACTTGAACCTGTAAAAACTGTTGAGGAAGTTCTACATTACTGGAACCGTTTTACTGTAAGTGGTCTCTTTTTTTCTTATTTGTATATTTTATGCCATGAGTCATGGGCATAAAAATGTAATAAATTGTAAACTGTTAGAAAATTATGGGGTGAGAAAATTAGCTGGTTAGGTCTTGATTAAACAAGCCATGCTATAGAATTTTGTTTCCTCAGAAATTTGTACAATGCCAAAAAGAATTGGCATGTAATATCTACTTCAACCAAATTTTGATTGTAAAAGACTCCCATTTATTGAGAATAACCACACACTTAAGAGTTGATTACTTCTACTTAGTATGATCATTCTGTATTATAATCGCCTATCTACTTGCATGTAAATGAGGATTGTGAATTGAGGATTGCTGTGTCATACTTCTTTCTGTGTGTGTGTGTGTGTGCACGTGCGTGTGTACTTTTTTTTTTTTTTTTGAGACAAGGTCTCACTCTGTTGCCCCAGCTAGCATACAGTGGCATCATCAAAGCTCACTGCAACCCTAAACTCCTGGGCTTGAGCAATCCTCCTGTCTCAGTCTCCCAAGACGCTGGGACTACAGGTATATGCCACCATGCCTGGCTAATTTTCTGTTTTTTGTAGAGACGAGGCCTCACTCTTGCTCAGGCTGGTCTTGAATTCCTGGCCTCAAGCAATTCTCCTGCTATGGCCTCCCAAAGTGCTAGGATTACAGGCATGAGCCACCGTGCCCTGCCCCAATGAATATATATATATATATATATATATATATATATATATATATTTTTTTTTTTTTTTTTTTTTTTTTTTTTTCTTTTTTGATACAGGGTCTCACTCTGTTGCCTGGGTTAGAGTGCAGTGGCATTATCAAAGCTCATTGCAACTCCAAACTCCTGGGCTCAAGCAATCCTTCTCCCTCCAGATTCCCAAGTAGCTGGAACTACAGACCCATGCCACCATGCCTGGCTAATTTTTAAAAAAATTTTTGTAGAGATGGGGTCTAGCTATGTTGCCCAGTCTTGTCTCAGACTCCTGGCCTCAAGTGATCCTCCCACCTCAGCCTCCCAAAGTGCTAGGATTATAGGCGTGAGCCACTACACCTGGCCCCAATAAATATTTGTTGGATGAATGAATAAACCATAACTGGAATTCTCTTGAAAGAGTGGTAAGTTTCATATTCATATATATATATATATATATATATATATATATATATATATCTTAGTCTGCATAGCTCTTGCCTTCAAGTACACTTAGAGATCTGTGCTTCATAATTTCTTCAAATTTTCAAAGTTTCTTAAAATTTTATAAAATTTTTGCTTGGGGAGAGAGTAAAATGGCGGAGTAGGGGTGCCCTCCTGGCTCTCTGCTCCCAGAGCAAAAAGTGAAGAAAGCGGATAGCCACACTCCAGCGATCTGCACTTCCATGAGACCAGCTTTGCAAACCTGCAGATATCCAACAGGAAACCGAGGGATAAGACCATTTACAGCCTAAAGCAAAGGTGAACCAAAACTCGGGGATTCGGAGGCACACATCAGGGAGGGAGCGAGGCGCGGCTTAAGCCGCTGCCGGCGGGCAGTGGCGCCAGCCCTAACCGGCGCTGAGAAACACCCCTTCCTACACCGAGCTCCACTTCCACCTAGGCCGGGAGGTGCCTGAAGTTGGTGAGAAGTGGCAGCATGGGACTAAGCCGTGTGGAGAGGAGATTAGAGCAGGGAACGCGCTGAGTTTGCCAGAGCACACAGCGGCCACAGTTTAAGGTGGGGGAGGGTCCGCACAGCAACCGCGCTCTGCGCAGCAGGAATCAGAGCCCACCCGGGCATCTCCCTGCAGAACACTCCCAGGTCAAGGTTAAGGGAGTTTACACAGAAGGAGGCTTTGACTTTGGATTTGGAGGAGGTTTGGGATAGCACTGAGAGGTCAGAGTGCGCAAAGTTAGACTCCTTGATCCATTAGGACCCCCCTCCCTCTGCCCCTCTGGCACAGCTCCGCCCCTGCATTCCATCGCTGACTCGGCATTCCAGCGCTGACTTGGGCTCGGGGTTTGGAGAGGAGGCGCAGAGAAAGCGCTGGTACGCGCCGCTGCTCCACCAATTTGATATTGGACCGTCACTTGCTGCACAAGCGGCACTGACTCTGCTCAGAGAGTGGACCCTGCCTGGATGGGGCAGAGCTAAAGGGGAGATTGCCCTTGGCGGATTTAAGGCAGAGAAAGGTTGCCTTCCACAGTCTCCTGCGACCCGGAGCCCCGCCCTGGGCTCCAAAGTCTCTGTCCCAGCCTTGGGGGCGGAGCTGAGATAGAAACTGTTCTCATTCCTGCCGCTTATCTCCACCTGGGTAATTCAAGAGACAAAAGGCAGGGATAGGTGGGTCCCATTGACTGCCTGCCTGCTTTTGGTCAGTCTCTCTCTGCACAGGTCTCCTGCGCGCTGTGCCCAGAGTGTGGAGCCTGCCTGGGCAGAGCTGGGCCTTGCAGGAGGCAGCCGTCAGTGGTTATAAGGCAGAGATATTTTACGACCCCTACATCCGGGGATTTGGGGCTAGGCCTTTGGCTCCAAAGTTTGTATCCCCGCCTTGGGGGCGGAGCCGAGATAGAAACTGCTCCCATTCCTGCCGCTTATCTCCACCTGTGGAATTAAAGAGACAGAACAAGGGGCCTGGTGGGTCTGGCTTCAGAACAATCTCTCACTGCACAGGTCTCCCGTGCTCTGTGTCCAGAGTGCAGAGTCCGCCTGGCAGGAGATACCCTCGAAGGAACCTGCCCTTAGCTGCTATAAGGCAGAGAATCTTTACGTCTACCACCGTCCTGTTTCTTGTGGCTGAGCCTTGGCTCCAAAGTCTCTGCCCCCCCACCCCGCATTGGGGGCGGAGCTGAGATAGGAACTGTTCTCATTCCTGCCGCTTATCTCCACCTGGGTAATTCAAGAGACAAAAGGCAGGAATAGGTGGGTTCCATTGACTGCCTGCCTGCTTCTGGTCAGTCTTTGCTCTCTGTGTCCAGAGTGCGGAGCCCGCCTGGGCAGAGCTTAGCCTCGTGGAAGATTCACTTTAGTGGCTACAAGGCAGAGAGGCTTTACGTCCACCACGCTCCAGTGTCTTGGCTGAGCCTTTGGCTCCAAAATTTCTGTCCCCGCCTTGGGGGCAGAGCTGAGATAGGAACTGTTCCCATTCCTACCCCTTATCTCCACTTGTGCAATTAAAGAGACAGAATACAGGGTTCCCTGGGTTTGGCTAAGGGCCTGCCGGCTTCAGGCCAATCTCTATCTGCACAGGTCTTCTGCTCTCGGTGTCCAGGCCCTGGAGTTTGCCTGGGCTGGGCTGAGCCTTGTAGGAAGCAGCCTTTGGTGAATACAAGACAGAGAGACGTTACAACCCACACACTCTGGTGACTTGGAGCTGGGCCTTCGGATCCAAAGTCTCTAGCCCCGCCTTGGGGGTGGAGCTGAGATAGGAACTGCTCCCATTCCTGCCATCTATTTCCACCTGTGCAATTAAGGAGACCAGCAAGAAGGGTAATTGGCTGTTTCCCCTCCGCTACATCTCGGACTGCTGGCTCCCCAGTGGGTTGAGAGACCTGCAGACACCACCCCAGTGAAGGCTGCTGACAGTGAAGGCTGCTCCACCTACTGGCTCAGAAACTAAACAAGACGTGTGAATACCCAAATGAAAGCCTAAAGGAAAGAAACAACAACCGAGCAAAATGGGAAGAAATCAGCGAAGGAACTCCGGAAATATGAAGAAACAAACGGAAAACACACCCCCAAAGAGGAGCACCAGCCCCTTAGAAACAGACAACAACCAAAACCTGGCAACTAAAATGACAGAAGAGAAATTTCGAATGTGGATCATAAGAACACTCACTGACCTGCAATGACAACTCAATAACCAACACAAAGAAACCACAAAAAGCCTCCAGGAAATGGAACAAAGGTTCACTAAAGAGATTGACACAGTGAAGAAAACTTTATCCGAAGTCCTGGAGATGAAGAATCAACTCAGGGAATTACAAAATACTGTGGAAGTCTCAAGAACAGGGTAGATCAAGCAGAAGAAAGAATCTCAGAGATTGAATATAACAACTTCCAATTAAATAAATCAGTCACAGAAATACAGCAGAGAAAACGAGAAAAGACAAAAGCCTACAAGCAGCTGTGGGATTATGTTGAAAAAACCTAACGTGAGGGTCATAGGATTGGCAGAAGGGGAGGAAGACAACACTCAAGGGCTGGACAAGCTTTTTGAAGATATAATAGAGGAAAATTTCCAGGCCTTGCTCAATATCTCGATATACAAGTTCAAGAAGCTCAGAGGACCCCTGGGAGATTCAATGCAAACAGGAAGACGTCACATCATGCAGTCATCAGACTGACCAAAATATCAACTAAGAGGGCCCTTCTAAGAGCTGTAAGACAAAAGAAGCAAGTAACTACGCAAGGGAAAGCCAATTCGAATAACACCAGACTTTTCTAATGAGACTTTACAAGCAAGGGAGAGACTGGGGCCCCATTCTCGCTCCTCTGAAACAAAACAATGCCCAGCCTAGAATCCTATTCCCTGCAAACTAAGCTTCATATATGAAGGAGAAATAAAGACATTCCCGAGACAAGCAAAGCCTCAGAGAATCACCAAGACAAGACAGCCTACAAGTAGTACTCAAAACAGTGTTACACACGAACACCATAATAGAAACTCACGAATATATATAAAAAAAAAAAACCAACACCCAAAGATTAAAGGCCTGATGTCTCTATGGATTCAAGAGAGGAAATCAAAGCAACAACATCCAACCCAACAGAATGAACAGTAATCTACCTTACCTATCAGTTTCTCTGAATAAATGTGAATGGCTTAAACTCTCCACTCAAGAGACATAGGCTGGCTGAATGGATAAGAAAATACAAGGCCAAGTATATGCTGTCTTCAGGAAACACATCTAACCTGCAAGGATGCATACAGACTAAGAAGTAAAAGGGTGGAATCGTATTCCGGCAAGTGGAAGCCAAAAAAGCTGACGTGGCTGTCTAAATTTCAGATGACTTCAGTG